CGCATGACTATACATCGGTATACCTCTCTCCTTCCCCTCCTGTCTTTCTACCTTTCTCTCTCTCTCTCTCTCCTCCTCTCTCTCTCTCTCTCTCTCTCTCTCTCTCTCTCTTTCTCTCTATACCGCGTTCACATTTAATAATGACAAACAGATTAGACTCAATTTATAATGCCATGAATCCGTGGATCGGATGCAATCTGCCGTCGGACTATCGCCACGCTTGCCCATGCAGGGCCCTGTCGCGACCCAAGCTCCCTGTGTATTGCTGTACAAGTTGCTAATTTTCTAATTATGTATCTTGATTGGCTTCTCAAGGTACGGATGACGTGCCCGCTTCGGTACCTTGATCACGTGATCGATACCTATCCACGGCCGAGTCTGGATCGCCCCTCCACCTGAAATGCAGAACACTGAAATACAACACAAGCCAAGCGCCACACTTCAACGCCGCTGGCGCAATATTTGTCGTCCCCTTCCGTAGCTTTCCCCAAACGCGACAATCTGCTCGGTACGGTCAACGAAGAATACAAACCTCCCGTCTGTGACGAGTTTGGTAGGAAATCTTCCAAGTTGATGTTGTATTCTCCATCGTCCGGAAAATAGTTCGGCCTTCCCATGACAACGAGAGCAAATTTCATCTGTGCAAATTAAAACACACCATTGATCAGCCATCACGTAACAAGCCCACAAGAGCAGATTTCGTTTTTTAGCTGTGAGTTCAGAAGTGACCAAACAAACAAATCGCAACTACGGAAAAGGGTACAATATGATATCGGTCGCATCAAATCATTTACAGTGAGTTAAACGCCTTCAATCATATACGACACGACCGTGCAAGCATTTGTTCAAGATAACTGTAAAATGCGTGCATGTAATGCCACCAGGCATGTCACCATGGCATCAGCTCCCATGACACCAAACACACCTTCTCTGTGTCCTTATCGGTGAGCTCCAGCTTCTTCTGCATTCGCTCCTTCACCTTAGCGAAGGGCTCCTTCTGTGTAGATATGAAAAAAAAGGGCAGGCCTCTGTAAGCAACGATAGCTAGTACACTAGGGATGCCGCAGCACACACTTGCTTATCATCACAAAGGCACCAGAGGCATAGAGGTGTCACTAGCAGCCTCAATTTCACTAAATCTTATATGCACAGTACACAAAGATTATATAATCAATTATTCACACAAGTTTGAATAGGCAGCATTCACACTTTACAATAACAAATACTAAAAACCTGTACTTACGTTTTTTATTTTAAACAAGAACGGTAGCCCAAAAGTGGAAAAGACCTCCTAAAATAGCAAAACATCGACATGAATTTCACACATGCACCTCACTAAATACATGCCAAGACAACGAATATATTATGTGAACTGGTACATGTAACTGGTGAAGTGGTATGAGTGGCTCAACGTAATTATCACTGCGTATAAGTAGCTCCATATAAGTGCCGCAGCGGTGCAAAGGCATCGCTGACATGGGTTTTCAGCGTGATTCCCAGTTGTCGCACGACAGACCCGAGTCTCCTCATCGTGCCACAGACACCCCGGCAACTCCCCTGCGCGCAGGTAGCTTCTTTCAGAAGTGGGCTACACTACACGTACACACACCTCACCCTCGCACGCTCATAGTGGGCTACACTACACGTACACACATCTCACCCTCGCGCGCTCTTACCTTCTGGAACTGGGCTACACGTACGCACATCTCACCCTCGCGCGCTCTTACCTTCTGGAACTGGGCTAGAGCGCGCGAGGGTGAGATGTGTGTACGTGTGTGTGTACGTGTAGTGTAGCCCACTTCCAGAAGGTATGAGCGCGCGAGGGTGAGATGTGCGTACGTGTAGTGTAGCCCACTTCCAGAAGGTATGAGCGCGCGAGGGTGAGATGTGCGTACGTGTAGCCCACTTCCAGAAGGTATGAGCGCGCGAGGGTGAGATGTGTGTACGTGTAGTGTAGCCCACTTCCAGAAGGTATGAGCGCGTGAGGGTGAGATGTGTGTACGTGTAGTGTAGCCCACTTCCAGAAGGTATGAGCGCGGGAGGGTGAGATGTGTGTACGTGTAGTGTAGCCCACTTCCAGAAGGTATGAGCGTGCGAGGGTGAGATGTGTGTACGTGTAGTGTAGCCCACTTCCAGAAGGTATGAGCGCGCGAGGGTGAGATGTGTGTACATGTAGTGTAGCCCACTTCCAGAAGGTATTATCACCCTCACGCGCTCATACCTTCTGGAAGTGGGCTACACGTACACACACCTCACCCTCGCACGCTCATACCTTCTGGAAGTGGGCTACACTACACGTACGCACATCTCACCCTCACGCGCTCATACCTTCTGGAAGTGGGCTACGTGTACGAGCATCTCATCGTCGCCGATGGTCAGCTCCTCCTTGGGCACCTCCTCGACCCTGTACGACTTCGTTCCGTCCGTGATGAGGCACTCCAGCTGCACATCGTCGCGATGTATGCAGAACACCTTGTTGCTGACGACCTCCACCAACCTGTTAGAGATGAGGCGAATGAGAACAACTGCAATCACAATGACAGCCTTGGCTCGTCCTGTCTCCACAGAGTACTATTCTGCTATAGTGTGCTTGCATCTTGGGGCATCACGCTTGTACTTTTTACCTTACCATGGAATTCTTTTTCGAGTAATAAAATTGTGAGACAAGAGTTAGAGACAAGTCTGAGCGCAGAGCACAATAAGCCAAAAGCAGCCATATTTCTTAATACGCTCTGCCAACCAGTGCGCACTGGTGGCACATATGCACACTCATATCCAAACAGCTTCGGGGAACATCGCTTTCCATTTCCCACAAGCGCGTCTCGATAGCTAACCGAGGTGTTTCTGTATCACTGTATCCGTGAATGTTAATCTTTCCTAGACACGACGCCATGAAGAAAAAAGAACACCATCACGCCTGTACTACAGTACAACTCAGTGTAAGTGCAATGCGACGGCCCTACCTTAGTTTTCCAGAACCGTCTTCGGTCCACTCCACAAAGTTTTCTGCCTTCTTGAGCAGACTCCCGACCGAACCGTTCTTGTTTGGATAAAGCACCAGCTCCTTCTATACAGGAGATTAAATTAATTTCATTAACGCATGGGATCCTCAGTGCATGACACAGTGAGGCTTTCATTTCTGCTATACACACATCTGTAAATCCTCGCTTTATTACATTGAATAATGAATTCGAATGCAATCGAAATGTGTTTAAATAATATGAATAATTTCAAATGTTACATCATTTTACATCATTCATGAGTACATCAGTTGCATCGTAACACTAATAGTACTATAATTAGTGTAATATAATAATAACATAAATGATGGTGGTGATCATCCTAACTATAGACTTGCCTCTTCCTTGAGATTGCTATTTACAAATGTACATTTGAACTGCTTCTTGTTTTCCAACTCAGTTATCTTTATGCTTAGCTGTATAAAGAAACAGAAAAAATGCGATTTACACACAGGAGAACATCATGGCTAGAAACTACACTACAACAAAATTGCAATGCAGCAGATACTCTCATGAATTCTGCACGGGCCTGCTCTACTAAAGTTACACACACAAAAACACTCACCCTCTGATAGTAAAGCTTCTTTTGCTGCCGAGGTTTGAAGTACACTAGCAGATCCTTGAGCGTGCCTTCATAGTTACACCTGAGTGGGTTGCCTGGCCCATCCCTAAACCTACACGAACGCAAAATAAATGGATAAATTCCGATATTAAAACTATGATAAAGCTACTCAGTGACTTTTTTCTTTTGCATCTCAAGCCCACAGGGAAATCACGAAAGCTCTAGCTTCTATTCTTCAGCAATACCGTTCTATGAAAACAATGAAGGAACATTAAGATCAAAAAGTCTGACATGTACTGTAGTACACACAGTACAAATGGCTATAAGTAATACAGTGTAATAAGCTTAAAATTCATACATGCAACAAACCATTGCTTAGTAGTACAGATGCGTACCCTTGAGATTTGAAAAACTGTAGGAGATAGGGATCCGTATTCAATTTCTGAGCCACCGCTCGCACTACCTGCAAGTACAATTTAGAAATTCACAACTAAAGATAAATGGTGGGGGAGTTTAGTTAGTCTAGAGGATAGCAAGGTCTGAGTTTCCAATCCCACCATGGCTACGAACCTGACACAGGAAAATGCATGTAGGATGAAATGGATGATCCTGGATAAAGCCTGTTACAGAAACTAATGCAACAAAGTTGCAGAAGCTCTATCCATCAGTTAGTGAGCCAAAAAGAAGAAAAATATATAACATCTACAAACTGCATTGACGTATTCAGCTTGGGCTTTAAGACTGACATTTTGCAACAGTCGCAATCATCAGTTATGCATCAGGTAACATCCCTACACTGAACTGCCTGCCATGAGAGTTGCCAAATGACAAATGGCTCTGATGTACCTTTACCCTTTATCACGACTGCCTTGCTATGCCGATAAGCCATACCTGCTCGTAGTTCATCCGCTGTGACAAGTCCAACGTAAATCCGGGGTCACTGGGTATAGACTTATCACGAAACGTCACCTCGACTCTATAGTACAGGTCCCTGTGGAGCGAAGCAAACGTGTGTGAGCTACGAGCCGTAGAGGTAATCGCGGGCAGCCAACGCACGAACCTCAACGATCCAGCCGATCAGTTTCTGACAAGACAAGGACCGCACCTGTCAGCGACTATTAACATTTGACCTTTCTCACCTGAAATAGTCCTTAGCTGTGGGAAGGTCATAGGTGTCCATGTTGGGGTCGTCCTTCTGAAACACTATGATATCACCGTCCATGAGCTCGTCAAAGATCTTCTCCAGGGCGAGGTCGTAGTTCTCCATTCGTTCCATGAAGTTTGGCTTCACTTCCTGCAAATCACACAATAGAGTACATGAGGACGTGGAGGGATACGGGGCGCAAAACGCAAAGTGCGCAGAGAGATTGAGAACGATCGATAGCAACTAGACATCCGCACTGAATGAAACTCTTCATTAATTTTATGGGAGAAAAAATAAAATCCTTCCAATCACCATCATGTTAAAATGATACAAACTTGACCATATTATAACTGTAGCACATCACACAATCGTTTACTTACAATCATTACATCGAGAGAACGGTTTCCAATACATACCTCGTACAATATCAATGGAGTATCTCTAGGGAAACCAGCCCTTTCATTTAACACAGGTAGTATGTCACCTGAAATTAATAATCAAAGTGGATTACAATTATCATAGAAAAAATAGAGAAAAAGAAGGGATAGGCCAAGGACAGTGGGAAACGAAACTACTCAGATACTAGTTCCAATTACCAGCGTGCGCGTGTGAAACTACAGACAACAGTAAGGTTTAATACTATAAGATTACGTACTGACTATTGTTGTGATGGCAGCATATATATACCCGCAGTAGTTTATGCTTTTTGTTTTTGGATCGTACATCTTCAGGAACAACAACACGTCTCCTGAAACAGGGAAGAAAAAAAAGGGTAAATCGTCGATCAGGGTTCTGCAAAATATATATTTCTCATAGTTTCTTTTTCTCAGTTTGTACTCACTCTCTTTATCAAAGACAGGCAATCGGGTGAGGCCACTATCCACACTGAGTGTCTCTAGAAATATTGTCCACGAACTATCAGTCTCAGCAAGGTCTTGTATCTGAGGAACAAAAGCAACAACAGTTAGCATTATAGAAGGCACGATGTAGTCCAAATAGGAACAGCTGGCAGCAGGAGCGAGTAAGTAAAATAAAAATCTCTATCACAAGATAACTGTAAGAGAATTCCAAATAGATGACGAAGAAATAGAAGGATGAATGGGACATTGAGATGGAGAGCTAGTTAATGCATATGCAAATGTAAGATTTGCATATGTAAGGTTTTGCCACAGCAGTGAGGAACTTATAACGCATGTATATACGGTTTTGTGAGCCTCTTGCTCCACTTCCAGGACAGTCGGCCGGAATGTCTGGTTTGGCCGCACGTTGAAGGGCCACGGCCGCATTTGTTGTCTAGGTATTTTCTGCAAAAATCCAGAGCAAGGCTATAACGACCATGGTACTTGAGACACTCTAACTAAATCTATAGATTAAACACACCTGACAACAATCCTGACAATACTTTTATTGATATACTAGATCAACTAAATTAGCCAATTCACGAATCAGACATTGTTCACAAACACGCGTGAACATTTGCGACATTCACATTAGTTAAGTACTATATGTACTAGACTATGTACCATATTTTCGGCTAGCAGGTCCATCGCTTCATCAAGAGTTGTCATTTTCTTCACCCTAAACGTTCGTGAGTGAGCTCGGTCTGAGTCGTAGAGGTCGTTGCCTTGGTGACCATTGAAGTCATCATTTAGCAACACCTATGTAAAATAGAGAGACCACGTCAACCACTGTGGGCATTACATTCTGTACAGTATAATACAGTATAGTATAGTATAGTATAGTTTAGTATAGTATAGTATAGTATAGTATAGTATAGTATAGTATAGTATAGTATAGTATAGTATAGTATAGTATAGTATAGTATAGTATAGTATAGTATAGTATAGTATAGTATAGTATAGTATAGTATAGTATAGTATAGTATAGTATAGTATAGTATAGTATAGTATAGTATAGTATAGTATAGTATAGTATAGTATAGTATAGTATAGTATAGTATAGTACAGTACAGTAGAGTAAAGTGCAGTACGGTACAGTACAGAAAAGAACATGGACATTAACATTCGGATAAATAAGTAAGCACACTCTCAGCTAAAGACCCTTTTTATACCATCTGTAAAATTATGCACTCAGCATCCCGATGCTCACACCGAATCATCACAGTACGGCTATTAGGTGAACACGCTAAGGTGAACATAACACGTGATTAAACGCACCAGTATCGTCATGAACAGGTGTGCCTCACTTCGCTCTTTTCGCCGGATGGCTTCCTGCTTCCTGAAACAGTGAGAGCATCAAACGTCATTAAAGCCTAGCGCAAACTTGCGACTTTTTCATGCAACTGCAACTCGTAGCGATTCTGGTCGCTTGCAACAGGTTGCAAGAAATCAAACAGGTTTGATTTTCAGCAACTCGTCGCTCGCAATAGCTTCGAAATCGCATGCATGCGGATAATATAAGTCATGGAAAGACAATGAAAAGAAGCGACTGCTGTTAACAGCAGTCGCTTGCACGCGCACACACGGTCAAGCGCATGCGGTTGCCGGTTGCAGTGACAAGCAACCAAAAGTCGTCGCAAGTCAACCACTAGGCTTAAGCCGCACTGACATGCGCACGCGCAAGCGCCTCGCTGCGTTGTCACGTACGCGACGAACGTTGATCCCCGAAAGTTGCTTCAGCAGGTTTTAAGTGCTTCGCTGACACGATGGCTAATGAGGATCGTGCAAAGATTGTGATGCCACAGGCGCCGTACCGTTACCGAACAACTTTTCGGCAGCAAATACAACGACGCACGGTAATACACGCATCTCTTGCACCCGGATTCGTGGCACCACACATCCCTGGCTTGGGCATGATCTTGAAGTGAAGAAGGGACGAGGGGAGAAGGACAAGACAACCGTAGCCTCACACAGGGCACCTACTTCTCTTCCTGCAGCCGATCCACTAGTGTCATCGGAATATCGTTCTCCGTGACCGTCTGGAGCAGCTCGGCTGTAAAAGAAAAGCGGCACACCATTCACGAATCGTCGAACCGACTCTCAACGTGAAATTGTCTAAACCAATATCAAGTAAACATTACAATTAGGACTAAGCTCCACTACCTTCTCCCAGCTAGGCCGCATACCAAACTAACATTCGATCGACCTACCCCACAAACAGGAACAACTGTGAATGCTAGCCCCTGGGTCCTGTTTCCAGATATGGATAGAAAGCACTGTCAGTAATCATAAATTCCCCCACCAAATCAGTAACCAGTAAACCAGATCAGTAACCAGTACAAATCAGTAATCAGTACACACGACCATCACCAGTCTTAAATGTAATAACTTCAGCGCGACGCTCATCGCTCAAAAGTTGCGACCGCCGACAAAGCTTCTGACGACGCGCTGCCGAATGCTAACTGTGGTGCCGCCGCCCCGGCCGTGCCGAAAGCCAGCAGCCGACGCACTCGCGCGGAGCAAGGAACTAAATACAAGTGCCGCAGAGCGACAGCGCTCACCGGACGGCAGGTGTTCTGATGCTAAACTCAGGGGCAAACAAATCAAGAGCACCC